CTGATGAGTCATAGGCTAACAGCTATGTGGTGGACATGGAGAATATTCTCCATTGAAAAAAAATAAAAAATTTACTTACAATTGCGAACGACTTAAAGCAAACTACCCATGATTGACACGCTTAAAGCTTGTGTGTAATATTTTTTTCAGCTCATCATACTTTGGGTAAATTAATATCTTTATGAAGTTGTTTCTCATTACTTTGTAAAGTGATTTTTTTTCTTGGATATATGCAACACAGAATTTGGATTCAAATTTTCACACGATTTTTAGGATTGGTGATTCAAGGACCCCCTCCCCTCGACGTTGCTAAAGTGCACCTCAATGCATATTTTTGCGCATTGGGGACAGCATGGTGCTGCCAATGGGTGAGTTGCGGCATTGCAAGACTTGGAACAGTCAGGTACTGGTGGTTAAGGGGGGATTCGTAGGCAGGTGTGTTTTTTGGCCAATATCACAACACTTGTGGTTCATCAGTATGGGCGCTGGTCTGAGAATGAGGATCGCCCTCATAAACGCAGACAAAATGCGTCCTCAAAAATAAGGATTATCTGCATGTTCGCAGACGTTTTTTTCTTCATCAGCACTCTGCGGGTTTCGGGTTACCGAACAGCCCGCTGGCAATGCGAAAAATTCCCTGGGAGAAAATAACCCTAGTTCACTGTCTATTTTTATGGGTTTGTCCGTCTTCCAGAGGATTTGTCGTTCATGATGAAAATCTGTCCAAAGTCAATGTAAAATGCATCAAGAAAATCATCCGTTTTTCGCATCACCAACACGCGGATCGTAAATATGAAACGTCTGCGAAATTGCGGACGGTCCTTATTTTTGTGAACGCGTCTGTCCGCGTTTTTGAAGACATCCTCCAGCGTCAATTGACCCAACCGCAATTTCTTAATCTTATGAAAATTGGCATTGTTCTTCATCATTCAATTTCATGTTCTTCCTCGAATTTTGACAAAATTTTTGGCACTCTCTAATAAAATATTAAAAATATGATAAGATCAAGCATCAGGGAATAGATCTCCAAAAGATTTGTTTTAAAAAATTCAAGTGCAATGTTAGGTGCGCAGAGCTGCTCCCCTTTATTAATTATGTTGCGCGTAGGTCTCCGCCTATGTCAGTGAGTTGGTACCCAGCGCAGCCTGCAGCCCAGCCCAGCCGTTCCCTAGACCTGCCCCTGCATGCTCCGTAGGCTGGCCTCGTAATTGGAATTGGGTGAACTATCATTGTGCAGAAATGGACTTTGAAAGAGTGTGAATTTCCTTCTTTTATTTCAAATTCACAATAAAAATAATACAAATTCGTAAACTAGATAAGGCAAAGATTCAACAGAACATAATTTTACCTTGAAAAGACGAGGAGATCCTCTCGTTTTAGGCAAGACAAGTTTGCCGAATTTCCAAATGGAAGCTGCCATTTTGAGGCCTAAATGTTCTTCAAGAATTGCAGCGCCACCTTGTGTTGAAACTGTGCCACTCATTCGGGGGGGGGGGGGGGGGCATGAGAACATTTGGAATCGTACAAGCGGGTGGGTGCAATTCATATTGCTCCATTTTAATACCCATTTAGTATTTCATGAACTTTGCATGTTCAAAGAGAGAAAGTGACAAGATAATACGCAGTATGATTTTTTAATGGGGGACTTGAAATGATGAATTTTGCATTCCATATAAATATTAACAATTTGTGAGGTAACATAACAAAATAAAAGACTTAAAAGGACTTTCTGACAATGAACCATAAATTAGCAAATATGAATAAAAATTATTATAGAAGAAAAAAAGATGAATTGACAAAGTATCATATTTCATCAAACTTTATAAAATTATTTGCAAAAGAAGGAATGCCATTGTTAGCAAATGCTTAAAAATCATCAATAGTGATCTGTCAGTTCATGACAGGTTCAGTGACCCATTAAAAATTCCATACCAAGTGTCTCTCCAAGCCCCTCTCCAAGTTCCTTAAAAATATGACAGCCCAAAACCAATTTTATGAACAAAATTAACCAATTTATTTAGCAGACTGGACAAATAATTGAAAGCATATGTAAAACATAAGGATAAATGATGATGTAGATGATGATGATGATAATGATAATGGGGATTGTAATGACTGAAATATATACAGGGATGAAAAAACTATAAAGAAAAATACTGAAAAGTTGACACATAAATGTTACCTTAAGATAGCATATTCGGATAATGACGGTTTTTGTAACTTTGGCTTTCAATGAAAAGAGGGAGCAACAAGATTTTATCTATTCTGGGAGAAAATTCCATCTAGGTGTCTTATTGATCTATGTACATTGGTAATTTTGGGTTGAACAGATGAAAGTTAGAGGAAAGAGGAATTATGAGTTTGGTAAGAATGGTGATATTTATGGTGAAAAAGTTTCAAAGTGAAAGTGGTATCACATTATTTAAATATTGAAAAATGAACAGTAAAGCTGTTTGGGTTTTTAATTTGTAAAATAATGGACTCGTGTGAGAAAAATATTGTGAACCAGGCCATATCATTTGTTATTTTATCATATCATTTTACTAAAGCTAGGTCTGTTGAATGTTTTTTTTTAATTCTGAAACCGTTTTGATTTAAATTTAGCAATTGATATATCTAAAAACTTATAGAGCCTTTTGTAATAATTTGTTCTGGGACTTTTTACATGGTGGGAAGAATGGAAATAGGCCAGTAATTACCTTTTTTGTGAGGACACTTTTTTTAAAATACAGGATCTATACATTTGCAATTTTAGCAACTCAGGAGTCAGAACATTCCCCGGTGGCCGGTGTTAAAGGGATAGATTGATATCAGAAATGTTTTTCAGAGGGGAACAAATAAATTGTATAATGGTGCACATTTAAGATTTATTTCTATTTCTACATTTAGATAAATACGGTTTCAGAATAACAAATCAAAAGACCTAGCTTTAGTACAATTTAAATGATAAAATAGCAAATGATATGGCCAATAAGAACCAAAAAAAAATTGAAAAGGGGGACCCCCACAAAGAAGAAAAAGTGTAAGAACTGATATTAAAAATAAATAGAGATTAGCAGTTGGGCACATTAGTCTTGTGTATAGGAGATCATCTCAAAGGTATTATTTCATTATCTTTATCCTATCCCTACTCCCCCACTTTCTCTCCATGCCCCTCCCCCTTCTCTCTCTTTTCACACAACACTTTTGAATGTTCCCTCTTTTTCTCTCTTAGTGCTGAAAAGCTCTCCCTATATATATCCCCTCTCTCATTTTTTTCTGCATCTCTTTCTCTCTCTGTATGTTTTTTTTTTTTTTTTTTTTTTTATCTCTGATCTCTCTTTCTTTCTGTCCCTCTTCCTTCTTTTACTCTACCCCCCTCTCTCTCTCTCTCTCTCCTTTTCTCTCTATTTCTCTCCCTCTCCCTCTCTCTCTCTTCTCTCCACTATCTCTGTTAGCTTACTTTTTTCTTTCTCCCTCTCCTAGGTCAAGCATTGTTCTCTCCTCTCCATTTCTCCTGTTAATAACTCTTTTAATTTCCATTTTCTCTTTCTCATTTATGACGGCTATATAAGTTTATAAATTCATTTTTTCCACAAAATATCACAGGTACTATTATGATTATATACAATAGTTATAATTCCCTTTATTTAAGAATGTATAAAACAGTAATATACAGAAATATATATTTGTACATTTCACAAAATTACATATTCCAAAATAGTACATTAAAATGGCATCAGTGTTAAAAAGGTGCATATTTCTATATATCAAGCATCATTTACAACGCGCATAGTACTTTACAAGTATTGACGCAAATTAATAATATTCCTCACAAAAAATATTGAATCATTACAATATACAGTGCGATACATACTTTTTTTGTATAATATAAAAATAATAATTATACATGGTTGAAAATTTACAGTCTCTTGAAAGCCATTGTATCAATTTCATAAAAATCACAGCATTAACTTTGTATAAATTGGCAAATAATAATTACGGTGAATAAATACACAAACGAACATATAATAAAAGTACATTCACTACTTTGCAAATGTTCAGTCGAGTTTGATGAGGGTAGGAATATCAACTAAAGCAGCTTAAAGGCTTGATCAGATATGACGGGGTAAACCGCCATTGACTTCAATGGGGTGCTGGGTGGAGTTAAGTCTTTGTGTTTCAAAGCCCACATTTTTCTGAATATTTTGGTATCAAATACTCATTTTGGCAAAATATGGAGTTCCGTTTTTGTGTCACTGAACCCTCGATTAACTCTGTGTTAAAAGTAAGAGAGATAGTGCTCTTCTAAATCTAAACAATTTAGAATCACGATTAAGATATCCTTTATACTTCAGCCATGCGTTCTTAAGAATATTTACACAACCAATCATGTAAAAAAAAAAAAATTTATAACAAACTAAAATGAATGGCACCAGTAATTGTAATAATACTACCTTTTTCCATACAAACTTAAATATTTTATGAGATTACACTGCCAGATTTATTTTTTTTAATTTGAAAGATTGATAAAAGTACTGCATTTAATAAAATAATAAAAACACCTACTGGAAAAATGGACTATCCATTAGGTGTTCAAACTGCATAGAATATTAGCTGATTCTTGTTATACAACATTTGAATATTTTAAATAATGGTCCTTCATACCCAGGAAAGACTCATTAGCATAAATGGTAATACTGCTCTTTCAAAAAGTTCTGCAATTATGTTTACCTTAACATTGCCATGTCTCATTTATTAAAACAAAGTTGATAGGAACAAATGTACATGGGTAAAACAAATGGGTTAAAAAACATTGTGAAAGGATTTAAGCAATTTCCACTGATTCTGACGGAAAAATAAAAATATATATCAAATACTTTTGATAAACAAAAACTTGTCAACATTTGGCAAAAATTGGACACACCAGATAAACATTTTATTAAATGTTTTAAATCCAACATTTTATCACCTATTAATCAATCTCTAAATACTATTAAGCCCAGAGGATATGTCTCATTGAGCCTGAACAACATTCGCGTACATAGAACCCAATAAAAAAGGGCAGTTTTTTGCAAGGTAATCTTCCTTGTCATATATGAAAGGGGCTTTAAACTGGATTATTTAAAAAAAAAGTTTAGACTTGAAAATCAGATAACCATACATCAATTCTTCAGATTCTTCTTCAATCATAAATTCTTCACAGTCATCTTAAATTATACACTTGCGTACAGTAGATAATCTTCTTATGCAAAGATCAGCTACGTGTTTGCTGTTTAGGATGCAACTGTTCCTCTGCGCCAGCTCAATCCGATACTATAGTTGAGAGATCCTGGCTACATCACTCCAGATGTATTAATATAATACTATGGTTTCATTCCCCTTTCACACCAGCCTGGTAGTGTGAAAGGGGTCATGATATAAAGACAGTGTTTTTTCACACAAGGATGTAATACCACGTAATACAGGTCATAGCTTAGAAGCAGAATGTCACAAATGCAGAAAGACAGAAAGACAGAGCATCGCTGAGGTCAAGAGCAGTGTGACTGAATGAAGTGATGATGCTGCTCCTTGCGTGTCCGGTCTCCTCGTTCTTTCAACGGATGGGTCTGTGGCTGGTCTGTACGGGATGCGCCTCGTTGGACCGCTGGGGTCTTTCGTTCTTGTCTCACCAGCGCCTCTTGATGTGGGCTCGAAACTGAAATCTGTTTCCTTGGGGGTAACTGCAAAGAGAAAAAAAAATAAGAAGTGGAAATGAGGACTTGGGTACTTGTTGTCATGTGACACTACTTTTTTTAAAACTGAACATGACATACATACCAACAGAATCTGCAATTTCAAAGGTTTCATAAAGGGTGTAATCTATCCTTCAATTAAAATCCTATGTATTCCACACACAAAAAAGAGAGAAAGAAATGTAATGAAGAACAAAAATGATGAACCTTTAAAAAAAACTTTTAAAAACCTAGTGCGTCCCCCAAGGTATTTTAGACTTCACAGGCATCCAAAGTTCCTGTCATATGTTTTGCTTGTCAGAGAATTCTGGAGTTAAAGGCACTACAAACTTGAGCAATGATGTGCCCTCTCCTTTACAAAAGTCTCTTCCCGCCCCAAAACTCAACCAAAAGAATTTGTCATGATATATACCTGTTGTGTAAGAGAACTGAGGAAGCGTTGAGTTTTCGACGCCATCGCCTGATCCGCTACCGGATAGATCCCCGCTTCCAGAGAATTCTTCAGAGCCGCTCCCACTGTAGTAGTCTCCACTCCCAGGCATCGGCAGCATGCCAGCGTCTTCCACCGTACTCCTCAAAAATCGCTCAATGAGCTGCAACAGAAAAGGGATTTATTAAATAAATAGGTTATTTTCTCTGTATTATACCAGGTAATTAAAGCTAGTCTGGTATTGTTCTTGCAATTTTTGCGGGGATGGGGGGTGCCATTGATCAAAGTATGTTTTACAAGAGGCCAATGTCCAGATAACTCTCAAACAAGAGGGGCAGATTAGTATACCTTTGACTACTTTACATGTATGTAATTATGCCATCTTCCAAAAACTGGTATTAACAAATCAATATCCATGAAAAGTTGAAAAAAATACATATTTCTGAAATAATCATTGAAGCTATAATGGAAGAGACAGCTACATTTTTTAAAACTGTCGACCAAACTTAGTAGAAAGTATTTTCATTCTCAGCAGTCTGTCTTTATCAATAGATGTATATGACCAATAGCTGTATAATGAAACAGCGCCATCTTGTGTTAAAGTGTGACCAGGCATCTTCCACAACATCAAATGTAGGTAAAATATTGTGTTAGAAAGAAATATTTAAAGAAGATTCTGCAAGTAGAAGGAAAAACATACAGGAGTTTTCCCTTTTCCATGAAATATAGATTACTTTGCAACAATAGTAATTGAATGCAAATCAAAAGAAGATTTATATGATTCATGAACATGTGTTAATTCTGTGTGATGCAGCTCCAAGAAGGAAAACAAGTGTATATATCTGGAGATCCAAGTACGCAAATATATCACATTTTGACATTTTACAAAACAAAGAGTAGATTAAATTCTCGTCGGGAATGCTTCATACATTCATTTTGATTTTCTTTGTAATAAAATACACTTGAAATTGAAATTCAATTGCATGGTAACACATGATACATGTATCATGATTTTCTTTGGAATAACCTTCAATTCAAATTGAAAATTAAATTAAATGATAATACTTCAAACATTATCATGACTTCTTTTTAATCTTCCACTCCTTTCAATGAAAATTCACAAAACGACTTCAGTTCATTTATTGAATGGTTAAACTTCAGACAGGTAATATAACGTTCATTGTAATGGCCTTCAGCTAAAATTACTTTGTATATTGTATGTGCGTTCAGTATCTTTACAAATCAACATGTGTGCATATTTATGAATATTGTCATTTTTTTATACTATTACATGGAAGATCTTGTTAACATACATCCCTGTATTATTTAAACAGAAGCTCCAATGCCTACAAATTGCAATTGGATAGTTTCTGAATGTTAAGTTCTCCTTAAAGTCAAACGCTGTTTACAATCAATTAAATTAGTCCATACCCATAAATTGCAATTGCATGGTTTCTGAATTTACTCTAAGTTCTCCTTATAGCTGAACACTGTTTATAATCTAAGGAAATATTTCCTTCCCCGACAACAAAAAGAGAGACAAGATGCTAGCAGATTGGGATCGACTCTCTTTTTGTGAAACTAGGGCGGAAAAGCCAGTTTAGAGAAAGAACCTCCAAACAATATGATGGGGGACACCTCACAGGCATACCATACACAAGCGGTGGTTTTAATGGGTGTACAATAAAGGGTCTTAGCGGGGCTAAACACACAGGATCAGTTCCCTTTCAAACCTATTCTTAAGAATGGGCCTCTGTTTGAGTAGTAAATAAAAGGACTATTCAGGGAGAAAGTTAGTGGAAATAGACAAAGCTGGCAAGATTGGGGGGGGGGGGGGGGAGGGGGGAGGGGTACCCATGGGCGAAGAAAGCAAGTTTACTTTGCATGTCATGGTCTTCTTCGGACTTGTGGGCCAAGATCTCTGCATAATGTGTACCATATTATTCTCACGAGGCTAGCTTTTCTCTGAAATACACTTTTGGAATACATCAAAAATTCTGCATTGACAAATGAGAATTTTCAATCATTTGCAAGAACTATTTCTTTTTTTCTCCATATAAAAGGAGTGGGAGTCGGTGGTGGTAATGGTGGTTGTCGTCATGCATCATCATCATCTTATGGTTAGCATGATCATTACCGGTATTAATCACAATTATACAGTTCCTCAGGTAGACAAAGGAACATCCTCTCACTGCTATTATGTAAAAATGTGTAGAACAGGTGTCACATGCATATTCACCTGTTTACATAATAGCAGTGAAGGGATGTTCCTTTGTCTACCTGAGGAACTGTATATTTTGTCCGCTTTCTGTGTCTGTCATGTTCATAGTGAATGTTCCCTCATTGATAATGATAATAGAAATAATAGTAACAATAACACTAATTTTGTCCGCTTTCTTTGTCAGTCATGTTCATAGTGATTTAACAGAATAAAAGCTGAATTTACCTCTGTTTTGTGCTCCAGTTTGTCCATCAACTGCAGGGCATTTAAAAGTTCTCTTTCTCTTGACGTTAGCTTGACTTCCGGGTTGTGTAGCTGCGCTGCCAGGCCATCCTCAACAACGATCTTACGATAACTGCATCATCAAAGAGAGAGAAAAGATTGGAACATTTAAAAGATGATGTAATAATATAGACTTATTTTCAGAGGAGCCTCATCAATATCAATAATACTCCTTATGATTGCCACGCAATCGCATAGACTATAGTTTTTGTTATTTGTTATCCCAATATTTCCAGGTACTTGTAATACCTGAGCTGAGGGAGACCTAAAAAATATATGTAAAACATATTGACTGGGGAAGAATTAAGAAGACGAGGGAGGAGGAGGAGAACAGAAGTAGAAGTAGAAGAAGAACAAGACCAAGAAGAAGAAAAAGAAGTAGAGTAAGAGGAAGAAAGAAAAGAAGAAAAATCAAAAAGAGAAGAAAGTGAAAAATAGTAATAAGAATAAGAAGGAACAGTAATATTATATCATAACTCTTTCTTTTTGTACGAAGGAATTAAGGGACAGAGATAAATGTCATCTTCATTACCACGACGTCATAGATAGGGCTTTAAGCGGTGTCTACACTCCACATATACTACCACTTGATAGTCCTACTAAACACTCTAAGCGAGTGTACGGGCACACATCTCAACGACTCTCAAAGATTGTGAGGACATTTCATCAAGGATATGTCAAAATCGTGATGAAAGGGCGGCGCAAACACTCGCAATGGCCCTCCGTCCTAATTAGTAACAGTTTGGCTTTGTGGTACGTGGGCTCGCGAATGTTTACAGCCCAGTTTCTCCATCTTTTCAACAGCCTGTAGCTGTGGATGTTGTATGTTCAAAGGCTTATGGAGTTGACTGGGTGAGACAAAGAGGGTATTAGAGACATAAAGAGAGAAAGTACAATTATTATGGGGTTTGCAGTGGGTTTTAACTGCACTTGCTAATCTCACTGTGTCTATCTGCAATTATTTGATTCAAGAGAGAAAACATGGACTTTGGTCCACTAGAAACATTTGACCACACTTGAAAAGGGGAGCAAATTTGCTCTTCTATTCTTCTCCCTCCTTAAGAGCTAAGTTCAATTTTGAGACACTTCTCTTCAACTGTAACACTCTTTCTAATGAGTAGAGTTAATCAAGAGAAGACAAAGACTGAGAAAAATGACAAATTTCTGGATAGTAATGAAAAATAAGAATTAATTCCGTTCATGAAAGAGTCAATTTTGGAAAACCCACTTGCGCAGAAGATATTGCAGAAGCTATGGCGCAAATTCTATTTCCCAATGTATACCCCTATGCATGCATAATTAATGCATCAATGATACCAGACTCGACTAACACTTCTGGTACCCCCGTTAACAACAAAAAGTGTACACATAATCATTTATTTCTTTGTAAAACAATATTTATCTTATTCATGTGTGATATTATTTATCTTGTGTTTATACGTTTATATTTTATGTTATCATGCTTGATACATGTTTTACTTGTTATAATTTTTGTTGTTAATAAACTCAAACTCAAACACTGTGGATGCCAACACCTACATCGAGTGATAACACCCAAATTCAGTGCTAATAGCCAGATTGATTGCTAACAACTATATTGTGTGCGAACACCATGGACCTCTATATACCCTTGCATCAAATGAACACCAAATATGAATTTACCGAACACCCATGACCAGAGTAGGTACTTTGGCATTGCAACTATAATGCAGAAATTGAAAAGAACTTGATTGACTGTTGGTTTAATACTGATTAAAAATCACACACATGAAAAAAGGAGAGAGAAAGTAAGAAGGAGGAAAAACAAAGTCTGGGCATTTTTCGAGAAAAAATTGCTACAAAGTCTTCTTTTGTCAACGGCACTTTCCACGCAATCTTGGACATGTTTTGAGAGATAACAAAGTCTCAATACACTTCCTTGACGAGTTTGGAGAGTGGCGTTGTCTCACGAAATTTTCGGTGGTGTCCAATCGGTATGCATGTATATCAGCCCCCCCCCCCCACCCCCCACCACCACCCCACCCCGCTCACTGCATCAAGGGGTGGACGTACTTCAAATACGTTCCTCCTCCACAAACACCCTCAAGTCAGTGGGTATGTTTTCATATTGGATGCAGTTCGGCGCGAGGTGAACTGCATTTCAATAATAGACAGGATTGATTGAAATAGCGTTTTATCGTTTGACAAAAAAGTAGAGAGAGAATCTATGACCTACATTATAAACTTTTAACTATGTTGTGATTGCATGCTTATAAGTCCAAGGTGTGACCCATGCATTACAGTTATATTGAATTGTATTATAGAATTTTGAACAAAAATCAACTTGAAATATCAATTCATTTGATTTTTTTGTCCGATTCAAACACCAGTAGGGCAATCAGCTTAATAGTTGATACAGTCATCAAATATACGGAAATCTTAGATGTGGATATTAACATAAGAGGAAAAGTAGCTAGCACTTGTTCATGACTCTACAGAGATTCAAAGTATAAGCCAATTATAAATACAACATATTTCTCACATTCTGTGCTAACAAACAAATTCAAATGTAACTAGAATTTAAATCGTCACGAGGACGATTAAGGTGGTCTGTCTTCAAGTCTTATGATAGATTATAATACTTACTATATTGAGAAAGGGAGAAGTTATATAGACATGTAAACAATGATGATCATCATGATGATCATGATGATGATGATCCTGATAGTAATGGTGATGACGATGTTGATGATGATGATGATCATCATGATGATGTTGATGATGATCATCAACAGACCATGATGACATCTGATTGAAAAAAATGAGGGAACATTTAGATAGCATATAGTCTCAGCTACAACATACTCCAAAATCAACAAAAACCAAACGGAAATAACGGCGATATTGCTCGCAAAAGACAGGAATGTAGAATCCAGATTTGAGAAAAAGTCATCTCCCATAGGGACTACACTCAAAAAGTAATGGATCAAGTGATAATAGGGGAATAATAAAGTAAACATGGTTGTTTATAACATTATTTGTGATTCTACGTGTTTTAATAAGCAAAGGAAAAGGTACAGTGAAAGGTCAAAAAGAAAAAAAAAGTGAAGAAAAAAATTGTTGGAGACGCCCGGACTCGAACCAGGGACTTCGAGGTCGGAAGTCAAGTGCGTTACCGATGTACCAAAATATTTCCCATAGAGATTACACGTAAACGGAAAATGGAATTATCAAATCCCACTTTGTAAGTGAAATATGAGCATGATCCCGGCATCTGATCGAAAATTAAAGGGCACACTTACGATAGCATATTGACTCAGCTACAACATACTCAAAGCTCAGCGTAAACGAAGATAAAACGACGGAGATATTGCTCGCGAAAGACAAGAATGTAGAAACCAGTTTTGAGAAAAAGTCATGTCCCATAGAGAATACACGCAAAATGTGAAAAATTGACATGCCTCCTTTAATCGCAAAAATACGCCATGATGCCATTGTTCAAATGAAATATCGTGTGAAATACATTCGTAGAAAATATTCTCAGCTAAAACATATCAAAATTTGAAAGAAAATTGATCAACATTTACAGAGATACAATCAATTTTCCAAAAATCTGCTAACGTCATAATATGCAAATTGAAATTTTAAGTTCGGAGGCCATTATGATGACGTCATGAGTTAATTGAGGGTCAAATGAGACATGAAATCATATCTCCGACTCATGATCTATCTAAATATGAAAAAAATTGGGGGTATCTATCCATTCTGAAGAGTTAAAATGAATTTTGTATAGGCTTGTTTTTGCACATGTAATGTGGATAGGGATAATGCAGATCCGCGTGTGCTGTAAACTTTGACGGACGCTCATTGCGTTATCACTGGTCAGAAAAAGGTGAACAAGGTATCAAAATGCTTGGAAAAATGTGGTTGATATGATAGAGAAAATTTGGCGTTTCCATGTTGTAAAATGTCAGTACGCGCACTTACGCGCGGAAACGCGCGCAAAAAAGTGCTCTCGCGCAAAATCTTGAAAATGCTTACAATTGCCTGAAACGTGTGCAAAAAAAATTTGGAACAAATTTGAGCATTTTAAAATTTTAATGCGCGCGTACGTGCGCGTCGAGGTGCGCGCGCAAATTTTGTTGACATTTTTAGTTGAACTTTGACCTGAAGTTGATGTATACCAAATATGGTTTATTTTTGAAGACTCGTTATCGAGATATGATAATGACTTGATTTTTACAAAATGGCGCCTGGATGACGTCACGATGACCCCATGAACTTGAAAAAGGTTTCGGGAACTTGATATTTTAGGGCCTAATGACTATCAGAAATTTGAAGGAATTTGACCAAGTCGATTTCGAGTAAACGTATACACAAAAAAAGTGTACGGAAGAAATAAAAATAAATAAAGAATAAAGAATAAAGAATAAAGAATAAAGAAAGAAAATTCTAACGAAATCAATAGGTGATCTGTCATCGACAGACCACCTAATAAAGAAAGAATAAAGAATAAAGAAAGAAAATTCTAACGAAATCAATAGGTGATCTGTCATCGACAGACCACCTAATAAGTCATAAGATAGGTCAGCCAAATATAAGTGAATTAAGTAAAGTTAAAAATGATATCAGGGGCAGTTCATTCAACTATATATTTAAACCAGATCGTCAAATATAGCAAAACAAATTTATAAAGGAGACTTATTTCATCCTTGTCACTTTGTGGCAATATCTAGAATTCATTTCTTTATTCCCTACATTTTTTTTCCTTTTCTGGGGGCTTCAAATTCAATTGGGAGTTTGATTTGCATCAGAAATTTGATTTGAATTGAAATGATAAAGACCATCTCTGAAATAGCCTCCATGCAATCCTCCATGCTGTCATTTGTCGACTTGGGAGATATTAGTCTTATTTCTGTCTTTGTTGCACTGGGGGGATGCATTCAAAGTCTGGATATGGGGTCACGCTCACAAACAAATCCCGACTGGCTGGAAATGATAACCATTCCTACCGCTCCAGGGCAGCAATATCACTTCACGTCGTCCTCCCTCCACAAAGATTTTCTTGACTTCCAAAGCCCAATATTGGGCCGA